TGTGTCCAAGAGTGTGCAGTGGGTATAAAGTAGATGACAGTGTTGGGGGCTCAGGCAGGGTACAGTAAGTCCACAGCTGAGAAGGGCTGGGTTCTGACACCCCGCACATAGCTGAGGCTGCCACTTAACTTTCCTGGGGTCAAGGATGGTAACAGGAACTGTCTGCCCTAATAGAAGGCAAAAATGCCTCTGTTATGATGTGATAGACAGGATGTGGGAGGAGCTCCAAGGAGGAACAGGGCTGTCCCACCCAGTCCCAGCAGGGGCTTCTCTGCTCAGCCTGGAGCCTCTGCCTGGGTGGGTCACCTTTGTAATCTGTGAAGCCTGCTATGAAAGGCAGGGGTGGTGGGACTGCAGTGGCTTAGCCTGCACTTCTGAGAGTGCACATCAAGCCTGTGAAGGCTGCTAGGGGAGAAATAGACCCAAAACAGCCAGGCCACAAGTTCTGATGGCAGAGCAGCTGGGACATAGGGATCGAAGGTTCTGGCCTGTGCCCGTAGGACATCCTGGCCACCTGACTCCCCTCCCTGCCCCATGGCTGTGTCTGCTGGTCTTGCTCTTGTCTCCGTCAGGTGCCACGCTCCCCTCACCTTATGGTTCCTCCCAAGCCCTGCCCCATCTTGCCCATTCCTAGTGTGAGCTGCCTGGGGTGAGCCATTGGGCCTGCTGCCTCCAGGTACCCACTGGGCATTGGGTTGCCCTTGCCTGTGCCCTGCAGCTTGGGCCTTGTGTGTATCTGTCGCAGTGTGCTCTTGCCTCCCCTCCCTTTGGTGTATTCATTCGGTTTCTTTTCTTTAAATAGCATAGCATATCGTCGGGTCATTCGTGTCTATCAGTATGAAGTTGGGGATGATCTGTCTGGAAGGTTTTTCTCCTTATTTCTCTTCTTACCTCACTGTGGCTTTACTGATGCACTCTTGACATCCCCAGGCGGCTCCACCCTGACTAACCTGCTGCCCTCAGCCGCTTGGGAAGGAGGGGTCTGTCCTCCCACTGCATCGGCACCCAACCTCCTGCCCCCAGGTCCTGGGGGCATTTTCCCCGGGGGGACATGGTGTGACTGCAAGTCTGACCTGCTGGGGTAGGAGGAAGCCTGGTGCCTTGCCTTGCTAGAGCACTTTGAACTTGGGGAGATTGCAGAGCTAACTCTGACTTGCTGGGTTTTAAAAGGGTAGGTTGGGGCGAATGTGGGTGCAGGGGAGCCTGGGCTAAAACCCCACCACGGCCACATGCACTGTGAATTTGTCCCTGCACGTAACCCTAACTCATTTGTCTTTGTTCACTGGTAGTCTCTGTGACCTGGCACTATGTTCTGTTGGGAAGGATGCTCCCCAAAGCCCACCTGCTCTCAGACACTTGCCCCCGCACTGGCAGTGTCTAGATGATGGAACCAGGATCTGGGCTTAGTCACAGCCATCTCCCTCCTTTCGACACAGTTGGTCATGATCTCCCAGCATTCCACTTGTGTCCCTGTCTGCAGGGTCATGCTCTCATTTCCCCTAGAATGGGGCTCCCCCTGCAGGAACCGTGCCAGGGCACTCCAGGGCTTCTGAGGTGGGGCTGTCAGGTTCTCAGCCTCCCCTCTGCCCTGAGGTCTCCTGTCAGGTGTCAGGGTGTCCCAACCCCACCATGGCTGCAGAGAGGATGCTCAGACAGGCTTGCAGCCACTCTGCAACCATGGGGGAATTTAAACTCCATTCCTGAGTCATCCTGGCCTGGGAGCGAGATGAGTGGGCTTAGCACTGGCCCACCACAAAGGAGCAGCCTCCAATCTCTAGAACAGGAGAAATGCTCCCTGCCCTCTCTGGATCCCTGGGGCCCATTAGGTAAAGATGGCCAATTACAGTTAGGTTTGGTTTCCTTAAAAGGAATGTGAGGTTGCCAGGCATTGCTCTCTGAGGGGAGGTTCATTCTGAGCTCTCGGTCAGCTGGGAGCAGGCCCGTTTCCTAACTGTCCTTCCATGTTTAGGTCCTGCATGGTGGAAGAGTCGGGGACCCTTGAATCCCAGCTTGAAGCTACGAAAGTAAGTACTCCAGGGGCTCTGGCCTAGCTCAGACCTTTCACCCAGCCACCCCTCAGGCTACCCTTTCCTTCTTGGTTTAAAGTCAGGAACTAGATGCGCCATTGGCTTCCCTTTCCCTTGGCCTAAAGCAGTCTAGGGCTTTTCACTCTCTCTTGTTCTGTCTCTACTTACTTTCTTCACGGAGTCTAGTGCTCTCTCCCAGACTGGACTGCAGTGGTGCAATCTCAGCTCATTGCAACCTCCACCTCCTGGGTTCAAATAATTCTCCTGTCTTGGCCCTTTAAATAGCTGGACTATAGATGTGTGCCACCACACTTGGCTAATTTTTATTTATTTTTATGTATCTTTTGAGACACAGTTTGGCTTTTGTTGCCAAGGCTGGAGTGCAATGGCATGGTATCGGCTCACTGCAACCTCCGTCTCCTGGGTTCAAACTATTCTCCTGCCTCAACGTCCTGAGTAGCTGGGATTATAGCCACCTGCCACCACACCTGGCTGACTTTCATATTTTTAGTAGAGATAGGGTTTCACCATATTGGCCAGGCAGGCTGGTCTCGAACTCCTGACCTCAGGTGATCCACGCACCTGAGCCTCCCAAAGTGCTGGGATTATAGGCATAAGCCACCGTGCCCAGCCTCATTTTTATATTTTTAGTAGAGACAGGGAATCACCATATTGGCCAGGCTGGTCTTGAACTCCTAACCTCATAATCCACCCGCCTTGGCCTCCCAAAGTGCTGGGATTACAGGCATGAGACCCCGCTCCCTGGCAAGACTTCTTCACTTTAAAGTCTTTGGTGCTGGGCACGGTGGCTCACACCTGTAATCCCGGCACTTGAGGAAGACCGAGGCAGGTGGATTACTTGAAGTCAAGAGTTCGAGACCAGCCTGGCCAACATGGTGAAACCCCATCTCTACTAAAAATACAAAAAATTAGCTGGGCATGAAGGCAGGTGGCTGTAATCCCAGCTACTCAGGAGGCTGAGGCAGAAGAATCACTTGAATCCAGGAGGCGGAGGTTGCAGTGAGGTGAGATCGTGCCATTGCACTCCAGCCTGGGCGACAGAGCAAGACTCCATTTCAAAAACAAATATCTTCTCCACTGTCCTTATATGCAAAAAAAGAAATGAATAAATAAAAATATCTGGCGATTGCTCCCTGGAGTCCTCCCTGCACTTGTCCTCGGTAAAGCCTGCTTTCTGGCAGGTCTAGCAGCTGGTTTGTAAGCCTCACATTTAAAGTGTTTCCCTCTGCTGAGATTATTGGGATTTCTTGAGCTTTACCCCATCCCACTATTCCTGTTCTATAACGTTCTTCTTTTAAGAGGTCTCAGGCCAAGCCTGGAGCAGGAGCCCAAGGAGGGCAGTAAGCAGCTCCTGGGCTGGTGGCTAAGCTGAGGGCCCCTGTCCGAACTTCTGTGCTCCCCACCCCTGCAGCGCAAGCATCAGGAAATCCGAGCCATGAGAAGTCAGCTCAAAAAGATTGAGGACCTGGGGGCTGCCATGGAGGAGGCCCTCATCCTGGACAACAAGTACACAGAGCACAGCACTGTGGGCCTGGCCCAGCAGTGGGACCAGCTGGACCAGCTGGGCATGCGCATGCAGCACAACTTGGAGCAGCAGATCCAGGCCAGGTACCTGGGAGGACTGTGCAGCCAGGCTCAGCCCAGAGCGGGGAGGAGGAGGAAAGGTCACCTGCAGTGAGGAGGGGTCTGCTCCCTAATTCCATTTTTCTTCTAGGAACACAACAGGTGTGACTGAGGAGGCCCTCAAAGAATTCAGCATGATGTTTAAGTGAGTTCAGCCCTATTCGTCCTGGCTGGGTCGGGGGTGGTCGGCAGCAGGGCTGTGTGCTAAGCTGCCACTTGGCTTTGTGCTGCAGACACTTTGACAAGGACAAGTCTGGCAGGCTGAACCACCAGGAGTTCAAATCCTGCCTGCGCTCCCTGGGCTATGACCTACCCATGGTGGAGGAAGGGGAACCTGACCCTGAGTTCGAGGCAATCCTAGACACAGTGGATCCAAACAGGTGAGGCTCAGGCCAGGTACTGTGAGCCTCTGCTCTGAGCTCCCGCCTGGCCTCCCTGCTCAGGCACTTGCCTCCCCTCCCCTCCCAGAGATGGCCACGTCTCCCTGCAAGAATACATGGCCTTCATGATCAGCCGTGAAACTGAGAACGTCAAGTCCAGTGAGGAGATTGAGAGCGCCTTCCGGGCCCTCAGTTCAGAGGGAAAGCCTTACGTGACCAAGGAGGAGCTCTACCAGGTACGGGCCCCAGGAGGTGGGTGAAGAGCTTTCCTTTGGAAAACTAAAGCCAAATTTGTGGCAGAGCTGAGTCTGGGGCAACAGGCCCTGCTGGGTATAGGAGTTTCCTCCCCACTTACAAATCAAAACCCAGTATGGGCTGAGGTCCTGGATCTGCTCATAGGGGCAGCTCTGAGCCTTGAGCCCCCAGCATCCTGAGCCCTGGGAGGTCGGGTTTGAAGTGGATGCAGCTGGCTCAGGCACTGGGCACCATCCCTTCCCCCTAGAACCTGACCCGGGAACAAGCCGACTACTGCGTCTCCCACATGAAGCCCTATGTGGACGGCAAGGGCCGCGAACTCCCCACTGCATTCGACTACGTGGAATTCACCCGCTCACTCTTTGTGAACTGAGCCGCTCCCTGGTCACCCACCCCGCACTGCTTGCCCCATGTCGCCTTGCTGCATGTCCACTCCCATATGCTCGCTCTTTCCACGGTAACCTTAAGCCTGCTTAGCTTGGAATAAGACTTAGTAGAAAATGGTGCTTCACTAACCCGCTTCTGGTCCAGTCACAATCACCATGTCACTGTGGGGACCCAGATCCATGTCTTGAAGCAGCTGCCCTCATTCCGACTTCAGAAAAATCAAAGCAGCTGGCTCCCCGCCTTCTTGTTCTCCCTTCCTTCCTCCCCCAACTCTGTTTTCATGTAAAAGACAAATAAATGACAACTCTTCACCCAAAGCTTTGCTTTTTTTCATTCAGCTCACATCAGGGCTCAGCACAGCAAAGCATTGTGCCTGCCTCCCAGGACTCCTCAGGTGGCCACCTCCGCTGCCAGGCGGTCCAGGTCCTCAGCTTCCCGGGGCCCTTGTTCCGTGAACTCTGTGCTCAGCTGCCACACCTTCACTGTGCCCTGGGCATCGCCCGCAGCCAAGAGCTGAGTCTGCTGGCTGTTGAACTCCAGACAGTAAACAGGGCTTTCATCCTGGGTTTGCTTGATGGAAACTGTGGGTTTCTGGGAGCTTTTCTGGAGATCAAACAGCTGCACGTCACCTGCAAGAATAAGGAGCTACGTGGAGTAAGAGAAACTAAACTAGAGACCAACCACACAGCAGGAGGCGGCTGACACCCGGGTTCAGTCCTGCGATGTGCAGCCACGGTCGCTTGAGGGAAGCTGTCCTTACCCTCACATGCGGTCTCTCCCCAACCCAGAACCCCAGCTACAAGAACGGCCCAGGCCACCCCTTAAAGAGATCCAGGCCCAGTGGCCTCTTCCTACCTTCCCCAGAGGCAGCTGCAAAAACCAAGGGGCGCACTGGGGACCAGCGCACAGCAAACAGGTACTTGAGAGAGAGCTGCAGCGAGGTCAGGGGCGGGGCCTGCAGCATGGAGTACAGGTGGACGTGGCCATCGGTGCCCGCGCTCAGGAAGAGATTCCTAGATGGGATGCAGGGGACCAGGCAAGGGAACTGATGCTGGTGTCTGGGTGGTGCTGGCACCCAACACCAGACCCCTCCTGGGCTGCCAGGCTTGTGAAGGGCCTTGTTGGTCCTCATTAGAGAAGAGACGATGCCTGGGGCCAAGCAGCAAAGAGCTGCATGCGGGGCTCAGGGCAGGCAGAAGGCAAGTACTTGCAGCAATCTGTCATGAGGCCTGGCAGGCTAGGGACCCACAGGACAGGGACACCTTGTTCCCACTGTGCCCGAGGCCGAGGCCTCTCCTACCTACCTGTGGAAGGGGGAACAGCTCACAGAGTAGATGGGACCGCCGTGGGGAGAAAAGGTAAACTGTGCCGGGGCCCGCAGGGGCACAGAGCTGGGCATCCGCGTGAGGGCCGCCTCTCCAGCTGCCAGGGAACACTTGAGCGGGAAGCCGCCTTCCGTGCCCAGAATGAACAGCCTTGGGTCAAAGCTGGAGAAGGCCACTGCCGTGGCGCCCACCTCAGTCTCTCCCCGGGGATGCTGTGGATAAATGGCAGCACAAGGGTCAGAGCCAAGGGCATCAGATGGCGCTGTCCTAACGGAGCCAGAGAACAGTACAGGGGATCAAAGCAAGTCAGGCCCACTGGCCACACCCTCCCGCCCCCAAGGCTCACTGGTGCAGGCCGGGGCCGTTTCTGGGTGCCGCATACCTTCTTGAGCTTGGTGCTCCGTGGCAGCTGTTGCGTGACCAGGGCGAAGCCCTCTGTGAGCTGCAGCTGGCCCGTCCCAATGCCCTGCCAGAGCAGCACCTTCCCATCAGTGGCCACACTCAGAACCTGGAAGCGGTGGCTGTGCCCGGGCTCCGGCAGCCACACCACCTGAGATGACAGCGTGCAGGGTGGGATGAAGACAAAGGACACCTGCCCAGGTGTCACACTCCACTCCCACCCTCCCTCTCTTCCAGGAAAAAAAAGAATTCTTGGGGAGGCCCCAGAGTCAGGCTCACCCACTAGGAGGCAGGCCCGGAGAGTTCCCAGGGCCCTCTCCAGTCCCAGAATCCCAGCACTGCAGCGCGTGCAGAGGAGGCTGGGAATGGCCACAGGGCTCTGGGAGTGGCTCCTGAGGGGGTGACTCATGCTGTCAGAGCTCTGAGAATGCAGGAGGCAGCTGTCCAACTGCCAACGCCCGGGTGACCTTCCTAGGAGAGTGGGCGCCCTCTCCCCGCTCTGCCTTAAGGCCCACCCCACCCAGCAGTCCCTTCCCTGACCTGGGACACAGGGTCTGTATGGGTGTCATCTGTCAGGCCTGTGCGCCACAGCAGCGGGTCCTCAGGACGGCTCAGGTCCCACACCAGCACCTCGCCACTGTACAGCCCTCCTGCAGGAACAGTGGGCCTGGGCAGAGACTCAGCCCTGTCCTCAGCCTGGCTTCCTGGCCAAGCACCCACCCCGACCCACAGACAGGGCCAGGCAACAGAAGCCGTCCCTGCAGAGGGAGAGTCCTGGCCCCCCAGCCCCACTGCTGCACCCGAGGGAGCTTTGCCAGACACCCCTGCCCTGCACCTGGTAGCTCCCTCCAGCATCGCCTGCCCCATCCCACTGACAGGTTCCCAAGGGCACCTGCCTCTTCCAGCCTCTGCACAGCCCCCAGCCCTGGCCCTGACCCTGGCCCCCTTCCAGACTCCTCTGAGTTCAACAACTGCAGGGCTTCACCTGGGCTCCAGGCCAAGGGGTCAGGGCCCACCTTCCTGTCTCCCAGTCAGAGGGCCCACAGAAAGCTCCCTGTGCACCTCTGCAGGCCAGGAAGCTTAGTCCTGAGAGGAGAGGAGGCGGAGGCAGCAGGCGACTCACCTGCCACGTGGGAGGGCTGCATGGGGTGGAAGGCCAGGCACAGGACGGCGCTAGGCGCCTCCACCACAGCCGATGGCTGCCGGGGACTCAGGCCTCGCCGGTCCAGGTTCCAGGCACACACGAAGGACTTAAGCATGCTCCAGTCCCCGTGGTCCACCCTGTGCAGGGACAGGCCTGAGCTGGCTGTGCCCCTAGGTCAGGCTCCTGTCACCCACTCCACTTCTCTCCCCACTAGCCAACACATTCACCTGTTTCCTTGTCACCACCAGACACTACTCTGGGTACTGAGGTGCCCCAGGCTCCGCTCCAGCACCCAAAGGGTGTGGCGTTCTCTGGAAAAGGGTCCCCAGGCACCAAGGACAGTCCATGCCATGCAGGATGGGGAAGCAGCTGGCGGGGCGGGCAAGGCAGGCAGGCCCAGGGCCAATGGGTGGGGGGGTGGCGGTCCTGGCACTCAGCCCCGCTCCCTGCTTTTCTCCTGCCACTTGTCAACCCTGCCCAGGAAGCCTTGAGAAGAGACTCCCAGGATGGGTTCTTGGGGCCAACCCTTCCGCATGCAGCTGGAGAGACCAAGGCCCAGCAAGGGTCCTGGGGTGGCGCACAGCCCCTCACCCACCCCAAGGCCACTCACCGGCCGTAGGCACAGGCCACCACGGAGCCAGTGGAGTTCCAGGAAATGCCAGTCACATGCAGACCCTGTGCTTGGGCTGGGGGGTAGCCCAGGGTATGCAGACAAGACACCTGTGGAGACATCCCCAACCCTGAGTCCCAAAGCCACCAGCAGGGGGCTTTATGGCTGCCTAACCAAACCTCACCTAGACCGGGCCACCCTTAGCCCTAGAAGCCCTCAAGTCTCCCAGCAAGGCCTAGAGGAAAATGTGGGACGTTCATCCTCACATCTGCCCCAGCAGGATGCTTCCAGAAGCCCAGAAGGCAAAACCTGAGAATCAAGGCCAACCAGGCTCCTGCCCAGACCAGCGGCTGCCCTCACAGGACCATTCCACAGTTTCCAAGCCTCAGCAGCTGCAGCAGGAAGACAGGGTGGCTGCCCAGCAGCATGAAAGTGTCCAACATGGCCAAGCGGAACACTCGACAGGAGCCAAGCCAACCACCCGACATCATGTGGTGCTACACGCACATGATTTTTTGTTGGTGGTGGTTAGTTGGTTTTCTTTTTTGAGAGAGTCTTGCTTTGTGGCCCAGGCTGGAGTGCACTGGTACGATCTCGGCTCACTGCAACTGCTGCCTCCCAGGTTCAAGTGATCCTCATGCTTCAAGCTCCCAAGTAGCTGGCGTGCGCCACCACACCTGGCTAATTTTTGTATTTTTAGCAGAGATGGGGTTTCACCACATTACCCAGGCTAGTCTTGAACTCCTGACAGGTAATCCTTCCACCTTGGTCTCACAAAGCACTGGGATGACAGATGTGAGCCACCATGTCGGCTGCACACAATTTTTTGTCAGCCTTTCTAGCATCTTGCTTTCAGCCCCCACCCAGCCAGAGTCGCATGTGAGGAGACTGACTACCAGCCCAGCCAGGGGTAGGCACCAGCTGCCCAGGAAGTGGTGTGTGCCAGGGATCCAGTCTCCCAGATCCTCTGAAGTTTCAGATCTGTTGACCTCATGATTCTACTTAAAGAACTATCCACTGAGGGCTGGGAGTGGTGGCTCACACCTGTAATCCCAGCACTGTGGGAGGTTGAGGCAGGAGGATCGTCTGAGCTCAGGAGTCCAAGACCAGCCTAGACAAGATGATGAAACCTCATCTCTACCAAAAACATAAAAATTAGCTGGGCATGGTCACAAGCACCTGTCATCCCGCTACTCACAAGGCTGAGGTGGGAGGATCACTTGAACCCAGGGGACAGAAGTTGCAGTGTGCTGAGGCTGCACTGCTGCCCTCCAGCCTAAGCAACAGACCAAGACCCTGTCCCAAAAAAAACAAAATTCATTTTGCAAAAAAATAAAAAAGAAACTATCCACTGGAAAGACCCCATGTTCACAGAAAGCTACACAGCCGGCACCCCATGCACTGCCGTAGCATGTGCAAGACGCCTCTGCTGTGGAGAACAAGCTGGCGGGAGACCAGGACGAGCAACTCCCCTCCTAGGCTTAGACCCACGAGAAATGCAAACACATGTCCACAGGAGCATTACTCACGATAGCCAAAAAGTGGAACAGCCCAAATCACCAACTCCATCAACTGAGAAGTGGATAAATAAACGTGGTCTGTCAATGGAACGTTATGTAGCGCAAAAGGAACGCACAACCAATCCAAGCCACAACACGCATGAACCTTGAAAACATGATGCTAAGGCCGGGCGCAGTGGTTCACATCTGTAATCTCAGCACTTTGGGAGGCCAAGGCGGGCAGACCATGAGGTCAGGAGTTCAAGACCAGCCTGGCCAAGATGGTGAAACCCCATCTCTACTAAAAATACAAAACTCAGGGCCGGGTGCGGTGGCTCACGCCTGTAATGCCAGCACTTTGGGAGGCCGAGGCGGGTGGATCACGAGAGATCGAGACCATCCTGGTCAACATGGTGAAACCCCGTCTCTACTAAAAATACAAAAAATAGGCCGGGCGCGGTGGCTCAAGCTTGTAATCCCAGCACTTTGGGAGGCCGAGGTGGGTGGATCACGAGGTCAAGAGATCGAGACCATCCTGGTCAACATGGTGAAACCCCGTCTCTACTAAAAATACAAAAAATTAGCTGGGCATGGTGGCACATGCCTGTAATCCCAGCTACTCAGGAGGCTGAGGCAGGAGAATTGCCTGAACCTGGGAGGCGGAGGTTGTGGTGAGCCGAGATCGCGCCATTGCACTCCAGCCTGGGTAACAAGAGC